CAATCACAGTTAATCTAATTCACTAGGTTGACTCCGTAGTTGAGAGGGTTGGCTTATGAGGACAGATTGAGTAGATTGGGACTTTACTCATTGGAATTTAGTGGAATGAGGGGGTGATCTTATAGAAACATATAAAATTATGATGGGAACAGATAAAATAGAAGCAGGGAGGTTGGTTCCATTGGTGGGTGAAACTAGAACAAGGGAGCACAGCCTCAAAATAAGGGGGAGCAGATTTAGGACTGGGTTGAGGAGAAACACTTTCACCCAAAGGGTTGTGAATCTGTGGAATTCCCTGCCCAGTGAAGCAGCTGAGGCTACCTCATTGAATGCTTTTAAGGCAAAGATAGATTTTTGAGCAGTAAAGGAATTAAGGGTTATGGTGTGCAGGTGGTAAGTGGAGCTGAGTCCCCAAAAAGATCAGCCATGATCTTATTGAATGGTGGAGCAGGGTCAATGGGCCAGATGGCCTACTCCTGCTCCTGTTTCATATGTTCTTATGTAATCTGCACATTTTACAATTTTAACAAAACCTAGCAGTCAACTGATGGTCACGATGAACTGGCAGATTTTCCCTTGGCAACTCCTCGACCTGAGTCCAGTTGCCAACCAATCAACACTCTCCTCTGGTGCAGTGTAAATGTCCTTAAATCGGTATTCTTGCAAAGTGTCCTGATGAGTACAAGAGGAAAAATTTCAACAAAACGTGTCTTTTTCTCAACAATGCTCAAGTTAACGTTCACCTACCATTACCATTCTAAGTGGTAAAAATGGGAAAACCTACAATTAGTGTAGTTGAGGCAAACAGCACAGGCAAGAGGGAAGTTAGATAAACAAGAGGGAGAAAGAAATAGAAGGAAATGCAGATAGAGTAAGATTAAATGGTTGAGAAGAGGTTGGTGGAACTGATGTGGGGCAGTTGGGTTGAAAGGCCTTTTTTTTGCACTACATTCTATTTAACACTATATAAAAGTCACCATTCAGTTTAAGGGTACATGCTGTGTATAAAACTGCACAACAGCAGTGGTGACCATTGGAAGTAATGAATTAACTGTGGCAAAAAACGCAAGTTCTTTCTTTTCAAGACTCAAATATGATACTTACACAGCAATCCAAATAGTCCACAGTACTGGTGCCCTCTCGCAGTTGGTGGAGCTGGGATTGTAGGGTCCCAATCTTGGCTTCTTTCCTTGTTAGCTCCATCTGAAGGTTGTCCAATTTCTCTTCTATTGCCCATATCTGCCTCCGATACCTGCTGTTATCAAGCATGCTTTGGGCATAAGCAGTCTGTGCCTCATCACGAGCCTTTAGCGCCTGTTGAACAGAGACATCTAGGACATTAACAACAAAAACAGAAGTTGCTGGAAAACCTCAGCAGGTCTGGCAGCACCTGTGAAGGGAAATCAGAGTTAACGTTTCGGATCAAGTGACCCTTCCTCAGAACCGGACCTGAAACATTAACTCTGATTTCTCTCCACAGATGCTGCCAGAGCTTGTTTTTTTCCTTTATTCATTCATGGGATGAGGGCGTCACTGACCAGGCAGCATTTATTGCCCATCCCTAATTGCCCACAGGGCAGTTAAGAGTCAACCACATTGCTGTGGCTCTGGAGTCACATGTAGGCCAGACCAGGTAAGGATGGCAGTTTCCTTCCCTAAAGGGCGTTAGTGAACCAGATGGGTTTTTCCAACAATAGTCAATGGATTCATGGTCATCGTTAGATTCTTAATTCCAGATATTTTATTGAATTCAAATTCCACCATCTGCCGTGGTGGGATTCGAACCCAGGTCCCCAGAGCATTACCTGGGTCTCTGGATGAACAGTCCAGCGATAATACGACTAGGCCATCACCTCCCTCAAAAACAGCTTTTCCAGCAGTTTCTGATTTTGTTTCTGATTTACAGCGTCCACAGTTCTCTTGGTTTTTATTTAAGACATTAATGTGTTTACGGGAATGATACATTGTAAGGAGGAGTCCTGAGGTAATTGAAACCTGGTGAAATCCAGCATTTGAGTTATTACCAAAGTGCATTAATTAACCTCTATAACACAGAGCATTAGTTCAGCTCTATAACACTTTTAATTCATCGCTGTAGCACAGTATTAATTCACTTCCACAACAGTATTAAGTAACGCCTGTAGCACAGAGCATTAATTAGCCTGTATAACAGCAGTAATTCACCTCTGCACTAGAGTATTAATTCATCTCTAAATAACAGCAACAATTAACCTCTACAGTATGGGGTATTAAGTAGCGTCTATAACCCAGGGCATTAATTAGCCTCCTTAACAGAATGCTAATTCATCTCTAGAGCAGACTAATCATTCAACTCCAAAGTCTGTTCCTTCCGATGGGGAGTTTCAAGGCTGGGGGGGGGGGGGGGTCACATTTTTAGGGTGGGTGGAGAGAGATTTAAAAAAAGACATGAGGGGCAACTTTTTTACACAAAGGGTTGTTCTTGTGTGGAATGAACTTCCAGAGGAATTGGTGGATGTGGATACAATTACAACGTTTAAAAGACATTTGGATGAGTACATGAACAGGAAACATTTGGAGGGATATGGGCCAGGGGCAGGCAGGTGGGACTAGCTTTGGCTGGGATTATGTTCAGCATGGACTGGTTGGGCCAAAGGGTCTGTTTCCACACTGTATGATTCTGTGATTCTAATAGCAATAATTAACCTCTACAGCACAGGGCATTTATTAGTGTCTGTAACACAGCAGTAATTCATACCTACATAGAACACAGCATTAATTAACATATATAGCCCAGAGTATTAACACAGAGTATTAATTCACTACCATAAATACAAAAGATTAATTCATCTCTATTAAGATGGTGTTAATTTATCCGAGAAGCACAGATTATTCAATCACCTCAATAACACAGAGTATTAATCAGACTCTATTCATATCAATTCATTTCAGTGCAAGTATGAAATGTGAGCATCAAGATGGAATCAAGTCTCTCCCTGTTACTTCAATTGTTTTGAAAATTCTCCTAACAATAAAACATGGCTTTTTTTCAACAATGCTCAAGTTAACTTACACCGAACATTACTGTTCTAAGTCATAAAAATTGGAAAATTTATTTGTTTTGAAACAGATTCTGTTTTTGGTGAATTTTATGTCCACGCATTCAGGAATTGTTGGAAACAAAATGTGCTGGATGTCATAGCGGGTTAGGCAGCATCTGTGGAGAGACAGGAGGCTAACGTTGCTGAGTCGCGATGACTCTTCATCAGAGCTGGTGCTGAGCAATGCAACATGTTCATTTCGTAACAATCACAATTTCTGAGATCTGATAGACAGTAGGCAATAGTTACAAACATCAAAAAGGAAGAGGGATAAGAACAATAACTCTGTTTCCATTGCCTTTTCAGGGAAAGCGCTCTCACGCTCTGCCATCGAAGGGAAAGAATATCACTTCCCCTCTGTTTTAAACAGATGACCCATGGATTTTTATAAAGTGACCCCTTAGGTCCATGAACACCCATGAGAGGAAACATCCTCTCCACATCCAACCTGTTAAATATTTCTATCATATCCCGTCTTATCTTTCTAACCTCCAGTTAAATCACCATCAACTTCTGAATAGAAACATGCCCACAGCAGCAGATGGTACAGCACCCCAGCAGCAGGTGCAATGTGTAAAATTGCCATTTTAATTTTACAACACAATAAGGGCCAACAGAAGGTGAATATTATCTCACTGCTTATCAAGATTGAAGTAATTCCGAACGCTAGTTAATATCTTACTAGACAGTCTAAAATATGAAACTTTCTTTTATTCATTCATAGGATGTGGGCATTGCTGGCTGGGATGGCATTTATTGTGGCAGGGTGAACTGTGATGAGGAGACAGAGATCCTAGAGCATGATCTCGACAGGTTGGGTGAGTGAGCAAATCTATGGCAGAGGCAGTATGAATTGGATAAATGTGAGGTTATTCACTTCAGAAGCAAAAACAAGAAGGCAGATTACTACCTGAATGGCTGTAAATTGGGAGAGGGGAGTATGCAGCGGGACCTGGGTGTCCTTGTGCACCAGTCACTGAAGGTAAGCATGCAGGTGCAGCAGGTGGTAAAGAAGGTAAATGGTATGTTGGCCTTCATTGCGAGAGGTTTCGAGTACAGGAGCAGGGATATATTGTTGTAGTTATACAGGGCCTTGGTGAGGCCACACCTGGAATATTGTGCGTAGTTTTGGCCTCCTTTTCTGAGGAAGGATGCTCTTGCTCTCTAGGGAGTGCAGCGAAGGTTTACCAGGCTGATTCTGGGGATGGTGGGTCTGATGTATGAGGAGAGATTGACTAGGTTAGGATTGTTTTCGTGAAAGTTCAGACTAATGAGGGGGGATCTCATAGAGACTTATAAAATTCTGACAGGACTGGACAGGGTAGACAGAGGGAGGATGTTCCCGAAGGTGGGTGTGTCCAGAACCAGGGGGTCACAGTATGAGGATTCAGGGTAGACCATTTAGGACGGAGATGAGGAGACATTTCTTCACCCAAAGAGTGGTGAGCCTGTGGGATTCATTCCCACAGGAAGTAGTTGATGCCAAAACATTGAATGTATTCAAGAGGTGGCTAGATATAGCACTTGGGCCGAATGGGATCAAAGGTTATGGAGAGAAAGCAGGATTAGGCTATTGATTTGGACGATCAGCCATGATCGTGAAGAAAGGCAGAGCAGGCTCGAAGGGCCGAATGGCCTCCCCCTGCTCCTATCTTCTATGTTTCTATGTCAATCATCCTTGAGAAGGTGCTGGTGAGCTGCTTTCTTGAGCCGCTGTAGTTCAGAGTGGATAGGAACAACCACAGTGCTGTTAGGGAGGGAGAGTGGTGGCACAGTGCCTCAGTGGTTAGCACTGTTGCCTCACAGCGTCAGGGACCTGGGTTTGATTCCACCCTCGGGTGACTGTGTGGAGTTTGCACATTCTGCATGAGTTTCTGCTGGGTGCTTTGGTTTCTTTCCACAGTTCAAAGATTTGCAGGT